AGTTGTACAAGCCCCCAATAAAATGATTACAAATAAAATGTTTGATTCTCTACTAGCTTTAATTAAGGAGGGAAAGATAAAGATGTAAGGTAAGTGTAGTTAGAGTAAGAAACACAATGTAGTTGGTGTCAGGGGTGGGGGAGAACCACACCAGCAGCTACTAAGAATAGCAATGGGATAAGCAGATTTAACTATATGAATAGTCCTCCTTGGGGGAAAAATATTATATTTTCTTGTGAAAAAAGGATAAACTCATTTCATGCTGTTGGCTTAGAAACCATCATAATAGGTGATTTGGGTTAATAATCCTCACCCTACTGAAGTCACATAATGCAATCCCTAAACTAAATTAAATATAACTAGCTTAAGTTATGTTAAATTACTAAGAAAAGAGCATAACTGATTCTTGTAATCTTGATGTAACGTATAAATTCAGATTCCTAAGAGAGAAAAGATCAGTCAGCTTTGCTCTTATAAGACTGCAGATTCAACATTATCATTATTATCCTTAGATTTTTGGAGGTAATGGTGCTTTATGGGGCCAACTTCCCCTTATTTTAAATTGTTGAAGGATATATCTATTTGCATATGTAAAATTATTGGATTTTAGTCTTGGTCTACTATACAGCAACAGCGTAAACCATCTCAAACCCCACGTCCAAAGATTAATAGTCCCCAAACTTATCTGCAGAGTATCGAGTCAGCTTAAGCCACGGGCAAATCCCCTCTAGCCACAGGCAAGGGTCTTAAACAGCTTTACTATCAGATAGAGATCATTGTAATCATGGTTATACTGGATAGAACTTGATTCTTGGTCAGTTGACTTCCCACTTGACCCAACCTAAAATTACTCTAGGTGCAAGTATTTCTTGCTTGGCAAAAATTTCTTCTCTGGCCATTTAAATACTGATTTGTGTTCTTTTCTTTCTTAGTCATTATTTGTATTTTTATCTTTGTATTATTATTATTATTTTATCTTCCCACTTTATTTTGTTTCTTTGTTTGTTTCTCTTGGTCTTTCCAGTTTGTAAAGCACTGAAGGAGTAGAGCCATACAGATGATAACCGATGCCAGGGTTTATAGGAGAGGGAGAAGTAGGGCATGTGGGACAGAGAGGGTGAGGGGGTTGGGGAAGCAAACAAAGTATGCAGGAGGGTGGAAGGCCCACTAGAACTGATAATGACTATACAACTCATTTTAAAAGTGATTTAGTCATGAAACCAAAAAGCTCTAAAATTGGGGTAGTGATTGTACAATTGTTTTTTTTATCGTTTTATTAGGGGCTCATACAACTCTTATTACAATCCATATATATATCAATGTGTAAATGTGTAAAGCACATTTGTACATTCATTGCCCTCATCATTCTCAAAGATTGTACAATTCTTAATATGATTGAATTATATAATTTATAAATTATGTGCCAATAAAACTTTTTAAAAGATTAATAGTTATTACAACATATGCTCAGGAAAATAAATTACCTTATTGAGAAATTCCTATAATGTATCATATATATTGCATTTTTGAAAATATTGCATTTTAAAGCCATAGAAAAATACTTATGCTTTGCTTGAAAATATCATTAAAATATTCCAGTTAATTTGTTCAGATGGTATTGTCCCAGTGCAAGAATTAATCTTTTTGCATTGGTTCTCTCTGCAAATACGCTATCACATATTTCCAAGAAAAGAAAAACATTAAAGGCTATTGAAAATTAAATTAAATTTCAACAAACATTGATATACATATTAAATTTGCTTTATTTATCTAAACTAAAAAGCTTATTAGAAAGTCATTGAGAAATACTAAAGCTTTGAACATTTTTCTTGAGTCAAAGACCAGTGACTACATTCATTGCTAGGAAATATACATATATTGTGCCAGATCATGAGAATGTAAACGATAAAAAAGATCTAGTATTAGAAGGGGCATCCAGGATGGCATCATAGCTAGACACCTAATAATGAGGTAGTTACAACAAAAATCCAAGAAAATAATCAATTTGGATATAGATGACAACTTTGGGACTCTGGGTATTAAAGCTAAGGTGAAGATATCAGATTGTGTGCCTCGTGGAAGAGAGATAATACAAAGACAGCAGACATGGGAAAGTATGGGTTACCGGTGCCCTACTTGGTGGGCCTGTGCAGTACAGTTATATTGAGACAGTACAAGTGCCATTCTAAGTCAAAGACTCCACTACCTGGTGTAGCCAAGCAGGTGTGACTCTGCACTCATGTCCACAGCCAGGAGCCCTGCTCTTTGACCATTCAATGGATTCAACTCAACAACCACATCCCCCATTCTCCTATGCTAGAGGCTCACAAACCTGTAGCCCTGCCACCCCTTTATTCATTTCTCCTAAAGCAGGATTATGGTCTGGTAGCATGCAACATCACCCTTCCCCCTGAGCCTACCCCTTTCCTCGGGCATTTGTGCCAGGATCCTGTGGATTAGCACTGACCACCTCTCCACTTGCTGAGGGCATGTGGAATGGTGGTGGTGTCCACACCTAAATTCATCCACCCAACAGGGGGCCCATGGACTGGCAGTGTCCACTGCTCTATCCAGACATTGGTGCCCAAATATTACAAAATGTAGGCACCTATGTTCAGACAGATTAAACATAATATTTCAGTATAGACTATCACAGGACACAGGAGCAGTACCAATGGAAGACAAAATCAGCAAAATTGAGAACAAATCCCTTGATACCAATTTGTTTTAGGGAAAATTAGAAAAAATAATTAAGACATTATGTAGAGCATTATCAAGAGGGAAAGTTTGCATGTAACTGGAATTCTGGAACAGGAGAAGGCAAAAAAAAGTCAGAAAGAATTTTCAAATATTTTCTGGCCCCATGGGGGTAACATAATGTCCTTCTATAAAAATAATAATGGTGTTTGCTTTGGCAACACATGTGCTAAAATTGGAACGATACAGAGAAGATTAGCATGGCCCCTGCGCAAGGATGACACACAAATTCGTGAAGCGTTCCATATTTTTAAAAAATAATAATCATAATAATAATGGTGTCTTTAAAGTGAACCAGGGACATATCTAAACCACAGATATATGAATGCGATCACAATTAATAGTAGCCTTAATCTAAGAACAATTAGCTCTTATGGCATGACTCTGCTAAATATCAAATGCCCACGAAGTGATCACTGCTGTAGCAAAGTGTGGTAAACAAAGCATTTGGTGCCTGGCTATCAGAAAGATAGTATCTGTGGTCTTAAAGGCTTGCCTTAAAACAAGCAGTCATCTAAATGAAGCATTGGCTAGGCCACAGGGAAGAAAAGCACCAGCATGTGTGATCCAAGAATTACAAACAATAAAATCCAAACCTGAAGGAAGAAATGGTATCAGAACTTGACCTGTGAACACTCAGTTCACCTGTGAACACTGCAGATGGTAGTGGAAGCTCAAAATCCATTGGCAGGGTTCCTCATACGATTAAACTGCTGTGAGTCCCTCTGTCTGTAGACCCGATATGGGAAAGGCCTTGTTACCAGACAGAGCACATTGCCGAATGAATTGTTGCAGTTGCCTTTAGGTCAAAATGTGACTCCTTGTCTGTGATCTCCCTCATGACCCCGTGTATCATTGCTCCAGCTTTTAATATTTTCTGTTTTGCTATTGATTGTGGCTTTTCTTTGTTTCATTGGGTAGTTGTTGTTCGGCCACTTGCTTGTATTCTTTATAGATTTTGTATGATTTTCTGTATATGAAACCCAGATTAGGTAAACCTATAGAAACAAACACTAGATCAATAGGTACAAAGTGACAAGACAGGGGAGGCTGGCAGGAAATGGAGAGCTAACAAGTTGTACAAGGAAAAAGAAATGTACTGAAATTGATTGTGGTGATGGATGCACAACTAATGAATTTGACTGAACTATTAAAATTATGATATCCCTATAATGCTGAGCATGATGTTTTTGTAACATTTAATTAAATGTATATATTAATATCTATATTGATAACTATGAAAGTAAAGAATAAAAACAAAAATAATTTTCCCTGAAATTAGAAATTCAGACATTATAGGGATATATTAATTGTATGTTGACAAACTTGTTTAAAAAACAGTTATTAAATGAATTTTAAATTTTTGCTGGCAGAAAACTTTCTTTATATCATGAAAGATAAGATGATACCCATTCGGGAAACTCAGTGAACCCCATGCAGGATACACCTCAATCAAAAGCAATATATAATCAAACTTGCCAAAATCAAAGACCAAGAAACGAATCCTAAGATCTGCTCAGGAAAAATAAAAAGTCACCTACCAAGGGAAACCAATAAGATTAAGATATGATTATCCTATAGAACCCATTTAAGCAAGAAAACAATGGAGTGACTTGCATAAAACTGTGAGCAGAGGCTACAAAGTCTGGGAGGTGAGATGGAAGGTTGTATCAAGCCTGGTTAGCTGGGATCAGAGCGGGAGGCAGGTGACCTGCTGGAAAGATATCCCAGTGAAATCACTTGCTAGACTGCTGACATGCTGATGTAAAGTGGAGTCTGAGCTGGGCCGCCGGGGCTGGGCAACCTTGAAAGAAGAAAATGCCAACCAAGAAGCATAAAACCAAAAAACCCCTCATTGCCATCAAGTTGGTTTGTTTCCAAGGAATCAGCCATCTAAATGAGATGTCAACGAAGTCCACAAGGAAGAAGCACACCCACATCAGTGACCCAAGGACTGTGAATTATGTAACCCAAAGGAGGGAATAGTATCAGAGCTTAAATTGTGAGATACCGTTTACAGAAGGCAAAATATATATTTTTGAGATCTACACAGGAAATAAACCTCCGGTAATTTTCCTCTAACCATAGTGGAGGGAGAGGAATAAAACGGGAATAAACTGGTTACCAAACAGAAAGCTGTGGTGAGATGACTAGAGTAGATTAAAATGATAAACCTGACTTGAATGGTTAAAACCTTATTACTTGTTCTCTCGTTTGATACATTTTGGGCTTGATCTGGTTTTCAATATTTTCTTTTTTTTTGTTGTTTTTTTTGCATATTGGGATTTATCTCTGAAGTATTTTGTCATTGTGGGTATCCTATTTTTGTTTCTATGTTTTTCCGGTATATGAAACCCAGGATTGATGAAACGACCGAGACAACAATTAGAATAAAGGCTTCAGGGTGGAGGGTGGGGAAGCTAGGTGGGGTAGGTGGGCGAGGTAAAGGGGAACTGATGTCAAGGGGTTCAAGAAGGAAGAAAATGTTTTGAGACTGATTGTGGGAGCAATTGTAGAGTACTACTTGATTGATTGAACTATGGAAAGGTATAATATCTGGATTAACTCTTAATGAAATGGTTTGGGGGGAAAAACAAGAAAGACTGAAAATAGGGAGACAGATACATCATATAGGGAGACAGATGCATCTGTAAATGATGACACTGTCCAAAGTGTCATCTCATAGACTTCTGTGAGAATTCTATAACTATACCATTTCCTATAGTATTGGTGACTGTGGCAGGTACATAATCTGTCAATTTG